ACCACCTCCTCCTCCACCTCCTCCTCCTCCTCCTCCTCCTCCTCCTCGCTTAATACAACATGCCAGCCAGGTGTATTGGTGGCTTATTCTAAGGGGTTCTAAAACCCCTGGATTCACAGCTAGAGGTGAACTCCACCCGTGATCCCCTTCTCCTTGTTTGAACGGCAGGTCACCAGACCTGGAGGGCAGAGCCGGATCTCCCCGTGGGTGGAAGGGACGGAGGCTCCCTGGAGGTTTACCTTAGAGGGGGGACGGAGGGGAGGCCAAAGGGGGCCGAAAGAGGGAGGGGGTGAAGGGCTCCTGTTTCTCCTCCAGTGCAAATGGGCTTATGTGGACTTGGCAGCAGAGGCCCTGGGGGGGGGAGGGGGGGGCTCAGACGCCCCGTGCCGTGGATGAAACGTCCACTTTAGCCAATAGGAAAGGGCTTGCTCTTATTTGCCCTCTCAACTTACCCGCATCGAGTTCTTTGCGACACCCACTGCGTCCTCCGCTCAATGCAAATTTCCCGTCCTTGGTGACTCCCTCTTGGGGAAGGGTGAGACCAGGAGCCTCTGAAGCTGGGATTCTTTTTTCTTTCTTCTTTTGCTGATGGGGTTCCGTGTCCTTTGAGCCCTTCTGCTTGACAGGCTGCTCGCCCTTGTCGCCCGCAGCCTCACGTGTGCCTGAACCGACCAAGCAGGGTGGTTGGGGAAAGGGAGCCTTTTGGGGGAGGAAGGAGGTTAGGTGGGATTGTTTTCCCCGCTGTTGTTGTTGTTGTTAGCAGCAGCAGCCGCAGGGATTCGGCTCATTTCTGTCGAAATAGTCGGGGGAGCAAGTACTCGGGGGGGCCCCCCCTTCTCCCCGTCCTGCCCCCCTCAACCACCACCATCCTGATCGGCGGCGGCTGGGAAAAGTCTTCAGCTTCCGGGCCTCCCACCCTTTGCCAGGAAGAGTGCAGCTGCCCTGTCCCTAACGCAGAGAAGCGACCGTCGTGGGCCGGCCAGGGCAGCCAGGCCCCCCGGGACACCCCCCCTCTGCTGCCCAGGGGCTGGCCGGACGTGGGGGGGAAGGGGGGCGGTTTCCCTTGTTAAGCGGACGGGTTTTCGTTGCTTTGGCTCCGTAGAAATTGGAGGAGCAGGACCGGAAAGCTCTGAACATCAAAGAACAGCTGCAGCGAGAACACCGGTACCTCAAGCGCCGGCTGGAGCAGCTCTCCGTGCAGGGCCTGGAACGGGTGCGCACAGACAGCCTCGGGTCCACCATATCCACGGATTCGGAGCAAGGTGGGTGGTTCGAATTCTGCAGCCTCCCCTCTCAAGGCCCCCCCACCCTTGAACTGCCCCGGGGGTGGTGGGGGACACACCGAGCGTGCAGCCCTTGAGGCCCTTCGGGGCTTTGAAACTTCCTTCTGGAAAAGGACATTTTGGTAGCAACTTGTGATGGGCTGGAAAGCGAATTTAATAAGCAGCTAGGGAGGAAAAGTGGCTGCTGCGGAGAAGAATGAAGCCTGAACGCCGGAGGTACAAAGCGTCAAGGTTCAGCGTTCCTTTCTTTTCTTTTTGCAAAACAAATCACAGCTCAGGCTGCCACGATTAAGAGTGTTAACGTTGGACGCTGTCCCAGGACCTCCTGGGGTTGAGGGTGGCATTGCTGCTATTACTGCCCCGAATGAATCCTGGACTTTACTTGTGGTCACTAAAAGTAATAGTTCGTTTGAGACTCTCAAGTTACCTTTTGCCCAAACATCCTAACCCAGGAAGGTGCAACCTTGGAGACTTCCGGGCTTCCCTTCCCAGAACTGCCCAGCCAGCCATTGGGGCCTGGGGAATTGGGTGGGGGGGGGGGGTTGAAGTCCAGAAGCCTTAAAGGTGCCAAAGTAGGCGAGCTCATCGGATGAACGGTTTCTGCCACTACCCCCAAAACGCCCTCCCTCACTTGCAGACCGGCCAGCGGATGGATTCCAGGCCGAGGTAGACGTGGCCCACAAATGAATAAATTCTCCAGAACTTCCCATCTGCCTCTGCATTAATTTGAACATTGGAAGCCAGTAATACGGGTTTTTTTTTCTTAAAAAAAATGCAAAATATAGGAAGACCCGAAAGGGAAACCGGGAACGACTTGCCCCCTAAAACAAGGGAGTGTTCCGGAACCGCGGGGTGTGTGTGTGTGTGTGTGTGTGTTGGACGACGGTGAGCAGATTCAGCTCTGAAACGATGTCTTAAGTACAGACAGTCCTCGACTTACAACAGTTCACTTAGTGGCCATTCAAAATGACAACAGCACTGAAAAAGGGGGCTTGTGGCTGTTTTTCACACTTTCCAGCATCCCCTTCGTGATCAGGGGATGAAAATTGGGAGCTGTGGCAACTGGCTCCGAGCTGTGACCGTTGCCATGTCCCAGGGCCACGTGGTGCCCTTTTGCGGGCACCTGAGGAAACCCCGGGGGAAGCCAGGTTCACTTAACAGCCGGGCTAACCATTTATCAGTTGCAATGATTCACTTAACAACTGAGGCCAAATTCGCCTCGCCAGTGTCTCCCTTGGAATTGCCGCAGGTTGAGGCTCCCCGCCCTGCTTGTGGTCTGCGGGCCAAGCGTCCAGCCGATGCAGGGCCTGAGACTTCTCCTCTCTTCCCCCACAGAGGTGGACATTGAAGGCCTGGAGTTCACCCCGGCCGAAACGGACAGCAGCGGAAGCGCCAGCGAGGCAGAGGACAGCTTGCGAGGCAGCTCGAGCGACAGCGGCTACGCCCGGCCCCACAGACGCAGCAGCACCGCCCGGCTCCTGTAGCCTCGGCCGCCCGGATCCCCTCCTGGGAGCCTCCCCTCTGGGGCCGCCAACCCGCCCCCCCCCCTCAGAAAGCGGCCCTGGGCAAGAGGCCTCTGCCCTACCCCCACCCCCACCCCCCTCCGGGGCTCCCTGGGCTGTGGATAAACACCGCGGTAGGAATCATGGCTTTGGGGCTCCCCCCCCCCCCGCAGATTAGATGGCGCCTGGGGTTAAAGATTCTTCTTGGATTGGGTTGGATTGGGGGGAGGGGCTTTCCTGACCCCCCCCAGGAGTCCAGAAGTTCCGCTGTGAATAAATGACTTGGACCCATTTTGACGGGTTGTCCCAGGTGTTGAAAGGCGGGGGGTCTCAGCCAGGAGCCGCTCAGAAAGCCGCGTAACGGTGTTTAAAAGGTGGTCCTGGGCACCTCCAGGCTTCCATCTCGGCCGGGGTCCTTCACCCCAACTGCCAAAAGCCCCCCCCGTGTGTGTGTGTGTGTCTGTGTGTGTGTGTGTGTCTGCCGTCTCCCTCGCAGCTGCTTTGGATTCTGTGGAAAGGAAAAGGGGGAAGCTTTGAAAGCAGGCTGCCCTTTTCGAAGGAAGAAAGCAGAAACCACCCCAGTGTGGAGAGGCGGCTGCGTTGGGCTCGTCTGGAGAGGGGGGACCCCAACCCTTTCAGAGGAGGAGAGGCGGGGGGGAGCCAGCCCCCCAGCCCCCCCGGGCGCTTCCCCTCTTTCCTGGCAGCTCAGGCCGGCTGTTCCAGCAGGGTCCTCCCGGGGGCTTCAGTAGGCCGGGCAGGAGGGGCTTCCGATACCCACAGGCCCCCAGGGCCTCTCCCCCTCCCCCCCCGGAGGCTCTTAGCGGTAGGGCTGCCCCGGAGGGTCTCCGGCATGGGTCCTGGCACCAGCCGCCCCGCCTGGCTCCTATGAGCTCCCAGGTTCCCCTTCCTGGATCTGGCTCCCTTCTGCGCATTTCCCTGCGGGGGGGGGAGGGGGAGCCAGGCAGGCCAGGCAGGTGCGCCCCTCAGGTGTGACATCCATGGCTGCCTTTGATCAAGGACCCCCCACCCCCCGTCCCCCGATTGTCTCCTCTTGCAGGCAGGGACTGTGAAATGGGCTTCTGGGTCCAGGGAGGCCCAGCTGGAGCTCTTGGTCCCTGGGAGTGGGTCGCAGGGGGTCCTCCACCCCCAACTGCAAGGGGGACACCCCGATTTTGCAAAACCCTTTTTGTGACGGCCGCCATGGTCCTTAGACGTGGCGGTTCAGGGAAGCAGCGCTTTCCCCACCCCCCAAAAAAGGACAAACCAAAAGAAGGAGGTGCTTCTCTTGGGCAAAGCTCTCCGAAGACGGGAGGCATAAACGCCGCGGTGTTGCCCAGCACCCCAAATTCGGTCATGGGACTGCAAGGGTGGGGGGGCACCCTTGGAAGCTAAAGCCTGGGTCTCAAGCAGCCCCAAGGCGGGTCCATCGCTGGGACCAAACGGTTGCCAAGCGACCGTCCGTCCGTCCGGAGGCTCCGCATTCAGCACTCCAGGACTTTTGTTGGCAGGTTTTGAGTCTCCCCATGGCCCCCCCCGGGGAGAGTGTGTGTGTGTGTGTGTGTGTGTGTGTGATTAAAGCAGCCCGGTTTGTGTCGTTCCTCTATGTGGAGTTGCCAATAAACTGAAAGGAAAGTTTAGCTTTGAATTTCAGTATTGATCCTCTGATTTCTAGGCTATACTGGCAGTTTTCAAAATAACAAAATGCTCTTAAGATTTGCCTCATTCGTTTAGCGTTCATCGAGCTTTTTAGGGTGCAGTTACTCCACTTGTAGCAATATTGCAGAGTTGTAATTGAAAACAGTTTAAGCTTAGTGAAGTAATTAGTCTGGCTTGCTGATAATTAAAAATGGACCAATCTTTGCATTGAAAAAGGTCTTTTTTAAAAAAAAAAAAGTGATAAAAAGCTATATACTCTCTAGCCAACTGGTTTATTTCCTATAGGTATATTTCCTATAAAATAGTCTGTATTGTATTTTCCTAATTCTTCTGAACTACTTAAGTAGAGAAAGGACATACTGAACCCAACCGGAGTCTCAGGGACTCTTCATGTTTTATCATATTGTGCCTTCTGAACTTCCTTCCTTCCTTCCTTCCTTCCTTCCTTCCTTCCTTCCT